TGTATTTAATATCTATAATTCTTATCTTATTGTGTCATCTTCCTATGTACATTTGAGCTTGTTTTTACTACCCAAGTAATAGTACGTGCATTAAAAACTTTTGATGATCGTGATAATAGTAATAGTAAAAGAGCTTCCATGTATTAAGCATTTACTGTGGATCAGGCCCTGTATTTGGTGTTGCACTTACACTATCTCCCTTAGTAATAATACTCACAAATACTCTATGAAGTAGGTACTATCATTGTCCTGATTTTACAGGGAGAAATTTTGGCAGGACTAGGTAACTAGCTCAATCTCTAACACCTATTGATGGGTAGTGATTATTACCTCTATTTTTTGTGAAGGCAAGCTGTCTGTTAAAGAAATTTTTTTTTTTTGCATTAGTTACATTTGCATTAGTTACTTAGGTTTTGTCTTCCCCAGTTTTCTCACTTCTGTAATGGGAATAATGAAAATTATTGATAGAGAATAATATTGAACTATAATAATAATGAGCTGATAATATATGTAAAACACTTAATCCATGGCATATTGCAAGAACTCACTAGATACTAAATGATGATGACGATAATGATGATGATGATGATAAAGATGGTGATGGCAATGATTCCTTTAGTTTTTGACGGATCTTAGCTGCAGAAACCATGGCTGAGTAGGAGCTGGAACTATCCCTTTCATGCCCATGTTATTTCAGTATAGATGAGTGATTTGACCACAAGGTGAAACGCCATGATTCTTTCTTTCTTGATTCATTTGACCTCTGCTTTTTAAAACAAAAGTTTGTTTGTTATAGTGTATGCGACCCAATTTGTACATACAAAGTCTCATCTAATGCTCAAAATGACCCAGTGGTATAAATATTTGCATTATCTTCCAGACTTTACCAATAGAAAGCAGAAGCTCAAAGTAGGATGGGGCATGCTTGAAATCACAGAGCAAGGATTTCAAATGGCAAAGATGCAAATCTGAGCCAGTTTTCTGTCTCTTCCCACGAGCTTTCCAGTACACCACCCCCATTTAAATTGTAGAAAATTCACTAGTGCTCTGCTCTCACTGGCCTCGTGTAACTTAACTTTGAACTATTGTTGGATACTCATGCTTTCTCCTGGCTCTTAATGAACTTGTAATGTCATCTTATGAGAGTGCTATTAACCTCTGGCCTCAGGCTCTGATGACTTTTGCCAACCTCTTATTTTCCTTCCTCTTTAAAAATTATTATTCTATCATTACAGGATGTCTGGAAAATTTAAAAAAAAGTCTCACAACACCAACTCTTCAATGCTGGTTTTCCTTTCCTTTCTTTCTTCTTTCCCTCCTATTTATTCCACAAACATTTATTAACAAACATGTATTGACAATACCTGACATGCTAGGTATTTTGCCAGCTGCTGGGAATAAAAAGAAACATTGGTTGAATTTCTAAACTTGCTTTCTGATCTTCCTACTTCCTTTGGATCTCATTTCTATTAAAGGACTGATTTCCTCTGGATTATCTGAACTGTATTGCTATACCATTTTGTTATTTCAGTCTAATAGGAAAAACCTTTTCACACATACAAGCAGCTACAACTGCTTTTTTCAGTCCTCTATCTTAATTCATGAGCAAGTTTATACGCATGCTGTTTACATTGCCTTTCAGCTTTTTTTTACATCGGAATTCCTATTTAATCTTTTCAAGTTCACTTATATACTCTATAATCCACTGAATCAAAATCAATAATCTCTTTTAAACTAGGTCTCAAGATCCACACTTCACCTTTATTCTGTTTACCTTCTTCAAAAACTAAGCGCATCTATTTCTCAAAACTCTGTGAGCTGACCAGCAGATTAATGCCAAACTAGTAGTATTGCTGTATCTCTATATCCACCCCAAAGTCAGTCTGGATTTGGGCTTCTCTGTAAACCTGTTTGATTTGTGCAACTAAGGGGCTTATCATTCACCTGGGAGACGAAGGTATAATACTTATGCTATTTCCTTCAAATCTGGAGGAATTTTCCCTCATCCTCTTTAAATTCTCATGTACAATTCTTAACATTTATTCAGATAATAAAATTTTCTGATCCAGATCTAAATCATCTCTCATTTGGAACTTTGTTGTACTATAATGATTTCTACCGAGAGAATTCTCATTGTAAGATGATATTGACACCAATTCATTCATTCTCCAAGAGGAAACAAATGAAGTAAAAACAGAAGACACATCTTAAATGTCCCAGTTTAGACTTGTTTTAATCCTCTAACGCCCATCCTCTATAAGTAAGATTAAACCATGCCTAAAGAATTTGTAGTGAGGTGTATGGTATGGGCAGGTTTGGATAGGGCCAGAAAAATTCTCTTTTTTATTATAACGTCCTCAAGAAAAAAGTAAATAAAATGGTGTACTAGGCCCTCTAGTAATCATGCCATCAGTTATATAGGCTATTGCTTTACTGCATTTATTCCTCATTCCAATCATGTAGAGTGTGGAGACACTGGAAGTGTTGAATAGCCTACTTTTAAGTGGTAATAGCATCAGGAAATCCAATCTGGTTCAGAAAAATGGGGAGAAAAAGCATCATGACTCACATTTTCTCTAAAGAAATGGGATGTACTAGAAATGACACATATTAGCTTTATTAGAAAGGCTCTTGCCATGGAAAGTGCAATGTTTCGGCGTGCAAAGCAACTTATACTGTCATATATGAAGAATGTACAGATGAAGCAGCCAACTCCTCCATTTGACGCTGCACTGGTCAGCCATTTATATACTATAACAAATTCTGGATTCTACAACTAAAGGACTTTGTAGAAGGCTCAGAAGAGATATATGAACCAATTAAAAGACTGTAAATAAGCTGTAGAAGGGAAGATGAAAGGAAGTGGGTTTATTTGGCCTAGAAATGTACACTTATGTTTTCACACGTCCATTTAGGCTTTTCACATTTCCACTGAGGTAGAAACCCACAGAACTGGAAGCAGGCTGCAGCAATAGAGATTTAGGTTAGATAAATAAAAGGATGTCCGGGTACGTGAGATTCTTAAACCGATTCCAGTGGGGGGCAGTAAAATCTTTTCCGAATGCCACTGGTTAAGTTGATTTATAAGGATACCATTTGGAGGCAAGGATATGAATCAAACAACCTCCTTGCTAGCTCTATGTTTTTAAGAAACATCAGTTTAAAATTAATATAATTATTAGCATATGGATTGATTTTCTTGGCATAAACATGAAATGTAACAAAACAGTCACAAACAAGTTACTCCTTTAAAATGTTTGTTGAAGGCGCAAGAAAACTTTTGCATTTGAGGAAATTTCATTACTTAGTAAATTTGATTCTTTTTTAAAACCATTAATTTTTTTTTTCTACACTGTAATACTGGTGGCAGCTGTAAGCCTTTTTTAAAAAAATAAGCATTACAATTTTCTGTTTAAGGTAGCCTTCTACCAGATACGAATATATTCATACTTTATTATGAACAGTTATTATCTGAGAACAAGGTGATGTCATATTAAGTTACCTGAATTATGATACAGGGTACTATGGTTCCACTGTCATCTCTTCTACTAACTAGCGGTGTGACCTTGGACAGGTCATTTTTGAATGTCATGCTTCAGCTCCCTTTTTGGCACCTTTAAGATAGTGTTAGAAGAGGTGACCTCTTATATTCTTTCCTTCCTTAAAATTCTATTGAGGAATTTTATTAAATCATAATTTAGACAAGTCAACATTTTATTTTTAACATACTTAAAAAACAGATTCTTTTTATCACTTTTAGAAGTCTTAACACAACAAATTGTTAGTGAGTAGTTAAAATTTGTCAATATAACTTATTCTAGCATAAAATTTAAGCATAATTAGCTAATACAGCAAATGGTCACCTTATACTATGTAAAAGTTTATGATGAAAACACTTGATTTCTTATGATCCAACTGTCAAATAGCTTTCATATTTAATTTGGGATATTTTGTGTTCATCTAATAGATTTGGAAATATGCACGGATATTTGTTCCCTTCACATACCATTCCATATGATTTCTATAAAATAATGATTTTCATTCTAAATATTCAGAAATATAACAGTATGTTATGCATTAAAACTCTCTGTTATGTCAGTCACTACTAAACTTCTTTTCTCATATATTGCACATGTAAACATAACTTAAATATACTATAGCCCAGTGGAAATGTAATTTTATGATTACATGAATTATGAATACAGATCAGCTTTTCATGTGATTGTAGTGATTTCCAGCTGCCTTAAAATAGTAACAATGAATGTCATTGTCATTGAGATTTACTTTATTCAAAAATATTCACACAAAATATGATCTGAGCAGTGAATAGTGAATTCAAGAAAGTTAATATAAATTAAATCCAATTCTGATCTTTAAATTTTAAAAAATCAGATTAAATACTGTTTAGGATAGAAATATTTGTAAAATTTCATGTGTTTACTCTTTTTAAAAATAAACCATTTAAGCTGTGCATTAGCAGTTTGACCTGTGGTTGAAACTGGGTGGGGAAATATTGAGGAATCCAATCTTCATATTTTAAATGAGACTCAAAGTTTTCTTTGGAGACGCATTATTAAGAAAAGTCACTCTATAGCGGGATCTACTTTTCCTGTTGGCAAACGACGGGGAAAGAAAAAAAATCATTTACACCTCACAATGTGTGAGAATATGTATCTGTTTCATATAAACCATATAATAGGAAAACTGGTCTGTCTTCTGGCTCCAGTCATAAATAAGTTAAGGATTAAAAAGGGATGAAAATAAGATCTTAGTTTATGGAGAAAAATCTCCATGGAGCCTATTTTAGAATTGGCATTTTGCTAAAACAATTTGACTCACAGTTTTTTACTTACTAAACGTTTTCCACTTCTGATTTCGTGGCTCAGCTCTAAAACCTAGGAAATCACCACTCCGTGCAAGATGCTAACATTTCTCTCAATCTTTCTGCCTCTTCAAAGATTGCCTCAAAGCGTAAAGATAGATAGTCCACAGCGTCTTACCTAGACGAGGAGGAGCTGAAACGCCGAGGCAAGACATGCTTCAACACTCAGCCTAGGAAAGGAGTCCGTCCCCGTTAGTTTCTCCAAAATATAAGTTCACATTTCGTGGTTGAGATCATGGCTCTATTCTAAGCAGTTCTGCGCAGTGTGTGATTCTAACAAAAACAGCCTCCGCAGCTGGAGGGAGCCTTAGCTGAAGCCGGAGTCTGTCAAGGCGTTCCTAGTGACTTCTGTCTAGTAAATTCAGACTGATGTTTTGCAAAAGGGGCCTCCACAACCAGGCCCAGATTGCCTGGGAAGCATTTCCTGCCTCTGAGTGGTGTGCATGTGAGAAAGACTGAACTGAGAGGAGGGGAGAGGGGCAGAGCAGAGGCCCGCCCAGGCGATTTAGGAGTTCTGATTTTACACAGAACTTAAGTGAGTTTGTCAAAACCCTTGAGGTGATTAGCTGGAGAGTCATAAAGCCGTAGAGCTTTTTCTATCCCACGCTGCTTATGAAAAAAAAAAAGAAAGAAAGAAAACATCGTTCTCTCCTTCCTCTACAACTTTTCCACTGTATTCAATGTATACACACAATGTAAGCAAAATACCTTTGCAGTGCTCCTTTCAAAAGATCTTTTAAGGGAGCAAGTTGCAGTTAGTTTTAATACCGTAATTCTTCTAAATTTGAAAACCTTTTTAACGCTCCTTCATTTAAAATGCTGCAGCCTGATATACCGTACCTGAGAAGGTCTGTAAGTAAAATCCTAGGAATCCAGCGAATAGAACGTTTTCTCCCAGATCTCTCCGACCCCAAGAATCCTTCCCGGAATTAAAGTAGTTTGTGTCATGGCAAAGGCAGCATTGCCTCTGGTCAGAATCTTCCAGTTACACACATCTAGTGCTGGAAAAGCAGAAGACAGACTCCATCTTGATCCTATTACAATCCTTCTGACATTAACCACTTGCAACTGCTTCCATCCAGCAGGACAGAGTGCCCGAATCACTCTAAAGCAGCTCACAATATCTGCATCCTTCCTCCAACACAAATGTTGTGAACTATCGTCTGTTTATCTTTTCTGCTTTCTTGTGCCTCCACTGGATGACTTCCTCCTAGCTGCTCAGGGCTGGGAACTTGGACTACCATTTGGTTTTGATTAAAACCAGACAGCCAACTCTGGAGAATTTAGGGAATAAGCTAATGGAAACTGCAAGTATGGCTTTAATTAGTACATCAATTAATAATAGATGTTCGCTCGTCTTATAATAAGATGACACAAATATAAATGCAGAGGAAGCTCAAGTCCTTTCAGGAAAGAAGTTGCACCAATTCTCCTTCCTTTATGACCCAGAATTCTCTTTAGGGAAAGTGGAAGGAAAGAAGAGAGATGTGGCTTTGGGACATCCAGGTTGTGGAGAGGCCAGTGGAGCAGCCTGGTTGTTTATACCAGAGAAACAGGAAACAGCATCTCTGAGTTTAACTATCTTGCTTGGTTGAAACTGCTCAGTAATGTCTCCCTTTACAATCAATGGATTCTCTTGCTGTTTATGACTTAGGCATTTCTTTCAGTGATTAGTGACCAGATTAATCTGATTATTTGGTCTACATGGGGCTTGCAAATATCCAGAGATTTCCAATAATGGGAGGCACAAGAACAATTCCAATTTCAATATGATAAATCAGTAACATATAAAGAGGTACAAGAAACAGTAAATCTGTTAGCCCTAAGATCTATGCTGTACATCTCTGAAATTGTAATCAGTTTTCATTATTCATGTTTATTCTCAGTTGGCTCTAATTTTTATAAAGGCTAACAGACACCTAGATATTGCAATGATCATCTTTTGAGTACGTCCTGAGGATACTGAGTAGGTGATAACTCAGAGAAGTACTATGTTATAGCCATGATTTCTTTTCTTATTGGAGAAGAAAATCTCTCGAAATTAGTGCAAAGCGTGGACTACTAGAAATATTAAACTTAATGTTTAATATGTGGTTTATATGTTAAATTTGGTTAAATGGCAAGAATGACATATTACACATTGATTTTTCAGATGAGAAGCATTCAAATAAAGACATGGAGGCAGAAACAATTTTTAGAAGTTTATGTCACAAAACGTTACTGATTAAAACATGAGCACTTAGATTCCTTTAAGTTAACCTTCAACCACATGGCAAGAAGGAAGTCCATAATTTCATAAATTCTTTAAAGAGTTATTTATGTTCATACTCAGAATAATTCCACTGAAACTACTGCCCACTTAATCTTCCCAACTATCGTTGTGTGTATTCTTATTTTTATTTTACAGATAAAGTATTAGAAATTTATGGAAGTAATTTTCTCACAATCAAATGATGGAGTAGCCAAGTCTACATTGGAACCCAAATTTTCTGATTCTAACTCCCTGAGTCCAACTGTCTCTCTTGACTCTCACTTAATTGCTGTGTGAAATTGGGAAGACTTCTTAAACTCTCTGAGTTTCAGATTCCTCCTTATAAATAGGGACAATTCCACATAACTCCCAGATTGGAAAACAGGATTAACTTTATATACAGATATATTTATAAATTATATTTCTTTCCCTTAGGAAAACACTGGAGCAGAATGGAATGAGAATTGATGTAAGTTCTTTCCTAAAATAACTTGTATATCTCTATCCCTATCTGCCTCTAGCCCTGCCTCTGGTATATAGAGGGCTAGAACATTCGCACTCTGCTAATTCTTCTTAGCTAGATTCTTCTCATGAGTACTATAATCCCCACCCCCCTTGTATGATTTAGCCTTGTTTCTGTTTATATTGGCCTGAGGAAACAACAAAACCATATTCACATAGATTTATAAATGCTTTTTTAGATATCTAGACACTCTTATTAGTAATTTTCTCCTTAACGTTCCCTTCTCTAAACAAATAAGACTTCATGATTTATTCTATTATTAGAAGGAATACTTCCCAAATCTTTAATCACTCTTATTTATTTTTCATCCTTCAGTTGCCTGACTCCAAACAAATCCCAGAACTTATATTCTCATAAAGGCTTTACCAAATATGAGTATAAAGATAACTAATGAGATCGTTTCCTAAATATTTAACATAGTGTCAGGCACATAGAAGGGGTCCAAAATATTTGTCCTCTTCTCCTTTCCACTTGTAAATCTCAATACATAACTCCCTTAAATGTTTGCCTATTACTCTATACTTGATCAGCTAATAAAATATGGTATAGAGGCAGTTAAAAAGTTGAAAACAAAGTATCAGGAAAGGAGTCTGGCTCCAAAACTAACAATCATGATGACCCCATGCAAATTACTTTGCCTGCATAAACCTCAGTTTTAGCCTCTGGATCTAAGGGTTTTTCAAAATTAGAGATAATAGTCCATGTCAAGTCATTAGACTTCATGGCTGGTGCAGTATTCATTGTTAACTAGAATTACTTTTACCATTTAAATTATTGCCCTTTTCATGTTTACATCTCTTTTCTATGATTGTTTTCCTGAAGAATCTATCTATTGAGCTCAGTTAAATATATGCATTTGGAACAATTTTATTGGTGGAACGATTAGGTACTTTATCTTTTTTTTAAAGAAAAAGGAATTGCAGAATGAGGATTAGAAGCTATTGTGAAGATCAACTTTCTTCCCCTGTACTAGGATCTAAATAGTAAACACTGGCTATGATTGATAGTAAACACTATCTAATCCCCAGCCACCTTTAGGAAGTTTGAATCTGCACTTTTACAGAATTGTTCAATGACTCTAAAATAGTCCAACAACATTTTGACTGTGCAAAGTGGGACGTATCCTTTGAAAGAAATATCTTATTCTTTATGAATTGAGTAGCAAACATCATTAATTCAGCACTCACATTTAACATTTGTGATATTGTGGGTGTAAGTAGTCTTTTATTCTTTCTGTTTTAATGAAAGAATACTGTGTTAATAGTAATGAATTTAAAATTAATATATAGAGAGATGGAATGCCTTTAAAGCACTTTAGAAGTGTCCATGCAAGTACAGTTAGTGTAATACATGCAGGAACACTTTGTCTACGAAAACCGATCCTTCAAAAATCTGTTTAAAAACTCTGCTTGCAGTTTATTAGAGTTACCACATGTGTGTCAAAGCAATAAAAATAGAATGTATTTGACAGATTTCTGGTTATTTTTTTCAGTAATATTTATGTGTACTTTCTTCCAACAGTTTCATTTTGATAGACATATACCCACATAGGAAAAAATACAATTTTGCAGTTTGTATTTAATAATCTGCATATGCATATTAGTTTTTTGGTCAACTTGGCAATTTTTTGACACCCCACTTTCGCTAAACATTTAGTATTCATCTGGAAGAATTTATTAAAGGAACACAATTAAGTTGGATGTTAAACTAACAAAAGGATCAAAATCGTATAAATTCTCCCAAACCGGTTACACCTACTTCTTGGATTTTTATGTACGTTGCTTCCCTTCATTGAAAATTATTACAACTCAAGAATAGTTATGAAAAAAAGTATCTTGATAAATTTCAAATAGAAATGAAAACATAAACTTAGCAAGTAGTTAAAAAAAAGTTACATTGGCACAGACACTAGAGTGTATATGATCTCAGAAACTGAAGAATCTCCCTGCCTATTCAAAAGGGCCAGGATATTCTCAGAAGCATGAAGATTCCAAGCCATGAAGGATGTTTTAGAGAAGGCTAGGTGTGCCCAGCTAGTGGAAGTGGAGGTTCGTTCTATGTCACACAAAGATTTTTTCTATATGAAAACGTACGCTAACATCGCCATGCAGTACTCTTCAGCATCCTTGTTAATGTTACCATAATGTTCTCTGAAATTCTCGTTTCCCTGTATCTTCAGTCTATCCAAAAAATGTTTCCTCTTCACTTTAGGCTGAGAGCTCACGCTCACTCTAGCTTCTCCTATTGTCCTTTCAAATGTTCGTATTGTTCTTACACATTATCGCTTGCACCCTCTCTTCGCCTGGAAAAAGAGGTGAAACTATCTGTGTCCAGATTCTTTCATCTCATAAAATTTTTGCTCCAGTTAAACGTCTACCCTTTGAGAGTCATTCCACCTGACTCCTTATCCTATACTCTACTACAGAATACAGGGCAGCATTCTCAGTCCACCACTGGGGGGTGGGGTGGGAGGGAAGGGACAAGGGTCATGAACTTGTTACAAG